ATCGAACTCAGGACCTTGTGCTTGTGAGGCAGGCAGTAGAACCACTGAGCTAAACCCCTGGCCCCTATTGTTGTTTTTTTCTTTCTTGGTACAGAGTCTCACTATTTTATCCAGGCTGGCCTTCAATTCATTATGTATCCCAGGCTGGCCTTAATTTTTTTTTTTTGGTACCGAGGATCTGACTCGGGATCTTGCGCTTGCAAGGCGAAGCAGGCAGGGGCACCACTAAGCTAGATCCCCGGCCCATCAGGCTGGTTTTAAGCTCATGGTGATCCTCCTAATTCAGCCTCATGAGTGCTGGGATTACAGAGTGCCACCACACCTGGCTTCTTTTTTCTTTCTTTTTTTTTTTTTAAACTTTCTTTTCTTCTCTTTCTTTTTGCGCTGCTGAGGGCCATATGCATGCTAGGCAAACACTGCCTGTATCAGCCTGCCACTGAACAATACCCTAGCCCACTGGAGCAGCTTTTCATGTGCTTATTGGCCTTTTTTTGCAGCTCATTATGTTGCTCATGATGGGCCCATACTCTCAATGCTCCTGCCTCAGCCTCCCAAATAATAAGGATTACACATGGGGCTGCTGTACCCACCTCTTATTGGTCATTTGTATATCTTCTTTGGAGAAATGACTTTTCAAATCCTTTGTCCCCTCCCCTTTTTTTGAGACAGAGTCTCAGTATGTAACCCAGGCTGGCCTCAAATTCATGGTGATCCCCCTCTTGCCTCAGCCTCCCAAGTGCTTAGATTATAGGTATGTGCCACCATACCCAGCTTTTATCCATTTTTAATTGAGTTATTTTTTTTATTACTGAATCATAAGAGTTTTTAAATATATTCTAAACTCAAGCCCCTTACCACATGCATAACTTGCAAATACTTTCTTCCTTTCTTTGGGCTGTCTTTTCTCTTTCCTGGTGGTGTTGTTGACAGTGCAAAAGTTTACAATTTAGCTGAGTGTGCTGGTACACGCCTGTAATCCCAACACCCAGAAGGCTGAGGCAGAAAGATCACCATGAGTTAAAAGCCAGCCTGGATTACATAGTGATTTCAAGCCCAGCCTGGAATACATAGTGAGACCCTGTCTCAAAAAAAACAAAGAACAGATTGCTAACAGAGAATGTGGTGGTGCTGTTAACAGGGGAAGAGATGTGAGGGGAAGGATAGGTGCCTCAGGCTGGGAAGAATTTGGTCGACAACAGGTCCGTCTAGGTGAATTCCACCTAGATATACTGAGTTGAAGGTTCAAGGGCAGGGAGAGGAAGAGACACTGGAGGGGAGGAGAGAAGTCTGGAGATGGAGAAGAAGGAGAATCAAGAGTCATTATTAGAAGTCACAGAGCTGGAGAAACAGAGAGACTCATACTCAGGGCACCTAAAACTGCCCCTGAAGATTCCATGTTTTGAAGGAGCATGTGGGAAATGCTTAGACAAAGTAGAATGGCACTGTCAAGAGGGCCAAGGAGAAAGTGTGTCAAAAAGAAAGATGTGGCTGGGCCTGGTGCCACACATCTGTAATCCCAGCCAGCACTCTGGGAAGCTGAGGTTGGAGGACCTCAAGTTTGAACCCAGCCTGGGCAACTTAAATGATTTAGCAAAACCTTGTCTCAGAATAAGAAACAAAAAGGTCTAGGGGTGCAGCTCAGTGTGAAGGCTTTGGGTTCAGTCCCCAGTACCACAGAAAAAGGAAAAGGAGGAGGAGATGGAGGAAGATGTGGCTGACCTCATCACACAGAGCAAGGAGTAGAGCAGGGAAGATGGAAGGAGGGCTTGCTTTTAGTAGGGCTGGGGAAGCACATCTAGGTGAAGGAGTCAGAGTGCGGAGGAAGATGGCATCAGGAAATATTAAGCAAGAGCCAGGCGTAGGGGAGCGTGTGAGGCTACCTGGGCTACATACGACAAAAGAACAGTTTGGGATTGCATGACTAATGGAAACAGAGACTTTCCTAATATCCTTATTTATTGTTTATTAATTAATGTATTTATTGCTGTACTGGGCATTGTATCTACGGCCTTGTGATCCCCATTTCCAGCCCTTTATTTTATTTTATTTTATTTTATTTTGAGGCAGGATCTCACCAAGTTGTTCAGGCCAGCCTTGAACTTGTGATCCTCCTGAGTAATTGGGATTACAGCCATGTGTCACCATGCCCTTTAGGACAGTATTTGGGACATCCTTTTGGGAAATGATGATGTGGCCCCTGCATCTCCAGAGCAGGGCCTTCTTCACCCTGAGGTGTGGCCCTGGAGTGGTTCTGCTGGTGATTGGGGAAGGGTACCGTAGGATCAGCTATGTGTGGCTGGAGCCCTCTGTCCTCTTTTCCTGTCTTTGTCGATTGTTGCGGGATGCAGGTGCTTGGGTCCTAACAGCATTTGAGCAGCACCCTGCTGATTTTTTTTTTTTTTTTTTTTTTTGTACCGGGGATCAAACTTGGGCCCTTGTGCTTACAAGGCAGGTGGCAGAACCACTGAGCTAAATCCCCGGCCCAGCACCCTGATGATCTTTAGCACTGTGTTCTTGTGTTCCCAGCTGATGCTGTCTGAGTGGCTCATTGATGTCCCTTCAGATTTGGGGCAGGAATGGATTGTTGTCGTGTGCCCCGTTGGAAAGAGGGCCCTGATCGTTGCCTCCAGGGTGAGTTGTGCCCGCTTCCCTTGTGCCACAGGCCTGGCCTCTGGGCTCTGTGTGGACTTGAGAGGCAGGGGGACTTGTTGAGAGTCATCTCAAGCAGATGACCCTGCAGAGGAGGATGGGAGTGGGTGTAGTGGGTACAGGGGACGCCTCACAAGAGAGCTTTGCCCCTGCAGGGCTCCACCAGTGCCTACACCAAGAGTGGCTACTGTGTCAACAGATTTCCTTCCCTTCTGCCCGGCGGCAACAAGCGAAACTCTACCACGGCTAAAGGTACCGGTGTGAGGCGTCTGTGCAGTTTTGTGAATCTATGCCCTGAGTCCATGGGCGGCACTGTGCAGAGGCTGCTTTTACAGTGCTCTGGGGAAACCGCAGGCAGATGCTGTTCCCTCAGGATCAGGCCCCTGGTCTGCACAGTAGATGTGGCTCTGCCTGCCATAAATCTCCACATCAAGGAGATACTGATGGTATCGACTTCCATGACAAGGGGACAGATGCAGATATTAGTGAAAGTCCCTGAGGGGTTGCCAAGTGTCCTGGTACAGTCAGCTGCTCCTGGGACTCCCTGGCAAATCCCCATTCTCCTTCATCCTCGCCCCAGCCTTGACTCCTCCCACCTGGCCTAGCTGAGCCCTCAGCAGCTATGGGGTTAAAACCATGTGTCTGTGACCATTCTTTTTTTATTATTATTATTTTTAAATTTTTTTTTTTTTTTTTTTTTTTGAGGCAGCATCTCCAACTTGCCTTGAACTTGCTATGTAGCTTAGCCTGGCTTCAAACTCCAGATCCTCCTGCCTCAGGCTCCCAAGTGCCAGGATTACAGGCATGCACCACCACACCTGGCTTAAACTATACCATCCTTAAAGGCAGCAACTACTTATAGTTAATATTCTCCATATAACACAGTGCCATTGATGAGAGCTTAAAAAGCAATTGTAAGATGGCCAGTAAGTACACGAACACATGTTCAACTTCTTTAGCCATTAGGGAAATGCAAAGTAAAACTACATTGAGATTCCATTACAGTCAGAAGGGCTGTCATGAAGAATACAGAAAATAAGTCTGACCTGCTGGTATACTCTGGGAGGCTAAGGCAGGAAGATCCAAAGTTCAAATCCAGCCTGACAATTTAGTGACTTGGCAAGACCCTGTCTCAAAGTAAAAACTAAAAAGGGCAATAAATAAATAAATAAATAAAAGGGCAGGGCCAGGGATTTACCTCCTTCCCTGGTTCTGCTCCCTGCTTTGCAAGCTCAAGGTCCTGAGTTTGATCCCTGGTACCAAAAAAAAGAAAAAAACAGAAACAAATAGGGCAGCGGGTGTAGTTCAGTGCAGAGGGTCTTGGTTCAACTCCCAGTACCACTGGAAAAAAAGAATTACAGAAAATAATAAATGCAGTGTGAGGATGCTGGGGGAAAAGGAGCTAGTGTGGCCATTCTGGCCAGTGTGGAGGTTCCTCAAAAATCCAAAAAAGAGATAGCACTCGACTCAGCTGTGTCACAGCTTGTGTATCCCAGGAGAATCAAAGTCGGCACACTGTAGGGAAACCCATGTCCCCATGTGTGTGCAGCCCAGTTCACAATAGCTCAACTATGCCATCAGCCTCACTGGCCACCCACAGACGGATGGATAAAGAACATGTGGATGTACACAGCAGAGTGTTAGTCACAAAAAAATAAATGAAATCATGTCATTTGCAGGAAACTGAAGACTATCGTGTTAAGTGAAATAACCCAGGGTCAGACGAGTATCACTTGTTTTCCCTCATATGTGGAATCTTTAAAAAAAGAGAGAGATGATGTGATAGTGTAAGAGGGACTGTTAGAGAAGAGAAAATGAACGGGGAAGCGGAAAAGGAAGGGCAAGTGGTCCCAGGGGTTGGAAATTATCAGAGTTTGTTATATGCATGTAGGAATCTGCCACAATGAAACTCATTAGTCTGTATTCATATGCACTAATAAAAAAGGTACTTAAGCTGGGCATGGTAGTGCATATTTTTAGTCTAGCTACTCAGGAGTCTGAGGGAGGAAGATCCCCTGAGTCCAGGGTTCAAGGGTATCCTGGGCAGTATAGTGAGACCTTGTCTCTAAGAAAAAAATTTATAAACAAAACAGAAGATAAGGGCTGGGGATTTAGCTCAGTGGTTCCGGCGCCTGCCTCGAAAGCACAAGGTCCCAAGTTTGATCCCTGGTACCAAAAAAAAAAAACCAAAAAAACCCCCAGAAGATAACTTTCTTTCATACTCGAGCTTCTCAAAGGTTAGTAATTGTCCCACTTTGCCTGAAAGTTCAGAATTCTCCTGTGGCTGAAGGGTTGCCTTGATTCCTCTGTGCCCTCACCCTGAGGTACGGAGGCAGCCAGGCCCTGGACCCACTCCTTCTCAAGTCCTCAGTTCTTGGCGCTGGCCACTGCTGCGCGTGGTGGGAGCATCTGGGCCTCCTTGGACTGTGGCGTGGGCCTGGGTGGAAGCAGAATCCTGACTATGCTCTCTGTCTGCAGATTACACCATCCTAGATTGCATTTACAGTGAGGTGAGCCAGACTTACTATGTCCTGGACGTGATGTGCTGGCGGGGACACCCTTTCTATGACTGCCAGGTAAGGACGAGCCTCCCCTCAAGTCTTCCTGTCTCCTCTCCTCTCAGGAAAGTGGCCCAGCTTGTGACTTTGTTTCATGACCAGTGTCTCAGCATCTACAGGATATGGTACATCAAGAGCATTATCTAATGTTCCCTGAATCTTTGAGTGTGCTTAAACTTAATCAGCTTCCTTTTAAGACAGGCATGAGAGAAACTAAGGGAAGTATAGTAATTCTTGAGAGGAGGAGAGAGATATAGCAGCTGCTTCCACCTTCTCACCCCTCTTGAGAGGGTTACTGGCAGGGAAGATCGCAGGACAAGGAGCATGCTGCCTTGTACAGGTGGCACCAGGAAGAGAAGATGGCATGGAAAGCACCATCAGTGGATTCCTGTGGCCTTCTCTCCCTCCTCCCCCATAGCCTGACTGCAGTGGCAGGGTCTCCTTGGCATGACAGCCTCTGGTCTCAATGACTGGCACTATGAAAAAAATATCTTTTCTCTCTCTCTTCCTTCCTTCCTTCCTTCTCTTTCTTCCTTCCTTCCTTTCTTTCTTTTTTTTTTGAGACAAAGTCTCACTATATAGTCTATATAGTCCCTCAGCGATCCTCTGCCTCAGCTGCCTGGGTGCTGGGATTCCAGGTGTGTGTCACCACGTCCCAGCTAGGAGCCTTTCCCTCCTCTCCTCTCTATCTCACTTTCTCCAGTGTGTTTCTCACCCAGGTCTGTTGGCAGCTCTCTCTTACTGTCTCTGCTGTGCTGTGTAGGGTTTGCACTTCCTTTGTCACAGTGGTTCTTAATGTGTGGTCTCCAGACTGGCAGCGTGGCAGAAAGTTGTTAGAAATGCACACTGTCAAACCTGCTGGATTAGAGACCATGGGGTCTGTGTTCTAAGAAGCCTGCAGGTGATCTCCTGAAGGCTGGGGAGAAGCTGGGGAGATCCTTGGGCTGCTTCTTTCCCTACCCCTACCCCATCCAAATTGCAGGATCTGCATTGCTAAGTACTTTGGGAGGGTGTTGCACTAAATCCCTGCAGCAATCCCTGAGGCCAGCATGGTGACTTCCCTACTCTTATACATGCAGAGGCTGAGAATGTAGAGCTTAAGGTCCCTACCCAGGAGCAGAGGAAGCCCTCAGCCCGGCATGTTCAACCCAGCAGGTTTCTCTTTTGTTCTGTTGGAGGATGTTTCAGCACATGCCTTCACAACCTGTGAGTTTGGTGGCTAGAACTACTTATGGTTGTATAATATAGAGGAAAGACTATGTATGTTTTTAATTCCCAAAGGCAAAAAATATATATTTTTCCAGTATTGGGGATTGAGCCACAGGGCTTCCCCACTGAGCTATATACTTAGCCCCTTTTAAAAAAAATGTATTTTGAGACAGAGCTCACTAAGTTGCTAAGTTGCCTAGGCTGGGCTTGAACTTGCAATCCTGCCTCAGGTCCCAGAGTGCTGAGGTTACAGAGGTGCACACCACACCTCACTGAAAAGCAAAATAATTTAAAGGAGGGCCGGGGATTTAGTTCAGTGGCACCTTTCCTGCCTCGAAAGTGCAAGGTCCTAAGTTTGATCCCTGGTAAAAAAAAAAAAATTTAAAAGAATGACAATTTCATATGTAACATGTACTAACTCCTTGTACATAACTATAGAAAGATATGCAGCAGTAACTCAAAGAGTAAAGTAGTTTATGTGAAGTTTAAAGTGCACAGCAGTTTCTAAAGCAGAGGGATTTATATAATGTTCTTAGAGGTTGAAGAGCCCTAGGTTTCCACTGCACCCAGGCAAGTGACTCACCCCCATGACCCTCAGAGTCCTCATTGTGAAATGGAGATGAGGATGCTGCACCACCCAGAGGGCTGGAGATGAACTCAATTACATGTGGATCCAAGCATGAAGCCCAGCACAGAGCATATCTTCAGTGACAAATATTGGCTCTGTTGCTGTTAATAATCCTGCTGGATCTTAAGAAAAAGTCCAAAAAGAGGCAGGAAGTATTGGGTACAGGTACAAATTCCCTATGATGAGTGTTATCATTATGTATGTCTAAAATGTACCAATAAATGTTTAGCTATCAAAAAAAAAAAAAGTCCAAGGGCCAGGGATTTAGCTCAGTGGCACCATGCCTGCCTCACAAGTGCAAGGTCCTAAGTTAGATCCCTGGTGTGGGGGGGCTCTGTCTGGAACAATTTGATGAACTTTTTCCTGACCTTATGGTTTTAAGTGAAATGGGATAATGACAGAAGGGCTTAAGTCGGCCAGGTGCAGTGGCATACCCTGTAAGCCCAGCTACTTGGGAGGCTGAGGCAGGAGGATCACAAGTTTGAGGTCAGTCTGGGCAACTTAGCAAGAACTTCTTTCAAAATAAAATTGAAAAGGGTTGGGGATATAGCTCAGTGGTAGAACATTTGCTTAGGATCTGTGAGGCCCTGGGTTCAGTCTCCAGTACTGCTAAAAAGGGGGGTTCAGACCTTTGTACAGAGTGTTTTGTTTATGTTAGAGTTTGAGATGATCAGTATCTCACCCTCCTGTTTCCCTTCTCATGGCAGACTGATTTCCGATTCTACTGGATGCATTCAAAGTTACCAGAAGAAGGACTAGGAGAGAAAACCAAGCTAAATCCTGTAAGGCCTGGGGTTAGGATCACAGGAATTGTTAGGATCATAGGAATTGATTTGGACTGGTCTGATACCTACATAGAATCATTCTGAATCTTTTTTGAGGCACCATGGTGTACTGGGAAGAGTATGGGCATGACAGCTGGATCCTGCTGAATCTTAAGAAAAAAATCTGGAATGATTTGAATTCCATGTGTGGCTTTAACCACTTACCAGCCTAATTATTTAAATATAGGATGACCAAAAATTGCATGTTTTTTTGCTTATTTTTATAAGATAACAGGGAATATAAAAACAATTTTATCAACTTTATTCAATGCAAGAATTGATTGAAATGATACCCACCTGAGTGACACTCAGAATAGTCAGTACATAAACAAACATGCTGCTAGAGTGATGCTTGGGGTAAACTGTTAAGTGGCTTAACTGTTATTAATGACCAGGTTGAAAGCTGGGGTGTACTCTTCAGTATTAGAGCACTTGGATCGCATGCAGAGGCCCTGGGTTTGATCCCCAGCACTACAAAAAAAAATCTGTTTTTGTTTTTTTTTGAGACAGGGTCTCACTATGTAATTCAGATTGGCCTTGACCTCATTACATAGCTCAGGCTGGCCTTGAACCTGGGGCAATTCTCCAGCCTCAGCCCGTGCACCACCATGCCTGGCTACAAAAAAATTTTTTAATTTTTAAAATAATTAATAATCATAGGGAAGGGAGGGAGCGAGAGGGGAAGAGGGAATGGAAAAAAAGGGGCAGGATGTACCATGTACAGTTGCAAATTCCCTATAATGAGTGTTATTATGCATGCCTAAAATGTACCAATAAATTTTTTTTTTTTGGTACCGGGGAGCGAACTCAGGACCTTGTGGTTTCGAGGCAGGCCGAGGCACCACTGGCCTAAATCCCCTGCCCCATGTACATTTCTTATTTAGTTATTGATCTTGGGTTTGTGTTATTTTATAAAATAATTTAATAAATTAAAATATAAAAAACAAAGTTTTGTCACTTACATAAAAAATAATTAATAATAATTACTAGGTTAAGTTAATAGCCTCACTTGCCCTTAATTTCTTCATCTGCAAAATAGTTTCTATCCTCTTACTTACAGAGTTGTTGTAAGAACCAAATGTTAAAAGTGTGTAGGTCCTCCTAGCATAATATTTATGATGGGTACTTACTAAATAATGGTTGATAGAAAATGCTATCACAGTGATTGATTGATTGATTTTGAGGCTGGAGATTGAACCCAAAGCCTCACGTATGCTAGACAAGTGCTCTACCACTGACTTAGTGCCTTTACACTGAGTTACAGCCCCAGCTCATTTTTCTTATTTTTTATTTTGAGGCAGGGCGTTGCTCAGTTGCCCTTACTGGAGGGGAACGTGTGAGTCTCCTGCCCGAGCCTCCCTCCTGGAGTGCTGGGATTCCAGGCATGAGCCATCCTCCCAGCTGAGAATCAGGTTTCTGATAACATCCCCATGGTGCTGATGCTGCTGGTCCATGGGCTGCAGTCTGAGAACCACTGCTGTTGTATCTGAGCCTCACTTCATTCATCTTGCATTTCACAGAGCAGAACAGGCTCAGAGGACACCACCCCAGAGGCTGGACAGCCCAGCTTGATGGCCCAGAAATCTTGGCCATCCAACCGTTGACTTCAGAATGTGTCAGGGTCTGGTCGGGATGGGGCCACATACCTACAGTCCCAGCCTCTTGAGAAGCCAAGGCAGGAGGTCACTTGAGCCCAGGAGTTTGAGACCAGCCTGGGCAACATAAGAGACAAAAAATAAAAATATGGCATGTGCATGTGAGATGAGGATGGAACCCAGGGCCTCACACATGGTAGGCAAGTGCTCTACCACTGAGCCACATTCCCAGCTATTGTTTTATAATCTTATTTTGAGACAAAATCTTACACAGTTGCCTAGGCTGGCCTCGAACTTCCTATCCTCCTGCCTCAGCATCATTAATAGCTGGAATTACAGGTGTGTGCGTGTACCACTGTGCCAAACCACCAGTAAGTTTGGTTTTGGTTTTGGTTTGGCGTTTTTTTTTTTTTTTCCTTTTCTGTGTGATGCTGTGGAGCAAGTATAGGGCTTTGAGCATACCAGGCAGGCACCCTCTGAGCCACATCCCCAGCCCAGCATCAGGAATTCTTGGTTTTTGAGACAGGATCTCCCTATGTAGTCTAGGCTGGCCTCAAACTTGCAGGAATCCTCCTGCCTCAGCATCCCAAGTGCTGGGATTACAGGTGTGCACCTGGTTTAGCATTAGGAATTCTTTAAAACTCCCAGATGATTCTCCCACCCCCAGATGATCCTTGTGTATAAAGGAAAATGGAGAAACACTGACCAATCAAAGGGCAGGGGGATGGGAGAGGAAAGGGAAGGATGAGACTGAAAATGTGAGTAGAGATTTTCAGTTGCTAGAACCAATATCATATGTAACATGTACTAACTTCTTGTTCTCAATTTACATTTCAGTTTAAATTTGTGGGGCTGAAGAATTTCCCATGTACCTCTGAGAGCCTGTGTAAGGTTCTGGCTATGGATTTCCCTTTTGAGGTAATGGAGCCGACCTCCCTGTTGCTTTGATGTGACTATAGGGTACGGGGAGGCTCAAGTACACAGGTTTTGGTGGTTTTTTTATTACACAGGCTTTAGGACATCTTCCAGTTTTCTGTGTCAGAACAGAGCTGGAGGCTGACTCAGTGGATGGAAGGTGGCTGCAGCTCTCCAGCTTGCAGCTAAGTTAGACGCCAGAGCTCTGGGAGGGAAACTGAGGCCCAGAGAGTGGCAAGGACCTCCATCCCTGGGTCCTTCTTGTGTGCCTTTCTGCCACAAGCATAAGAACAGCTACCCCTTGTTGGCCACCATGCTGATTACAAAACGGGCATCTTTGCCACAAATGTTTGGACCCCCAATCTTCTCCTGGCTAAAGCACAAGTCCCCAGGATTCAGTTCTTGATGAAGAGCAGTTTGCCCAGACTTGCTCCATCTTAGCACCAACGGCCTCCTGTCCCCAGATGGCCTCAGGCCTGGGCAGTCTTTTGTCATCCTCAGAACCTGCAGTAACCCTCAGCCAGCAGATTCCCTGCCCAGCACCCCCTTACAGTTCTGCCTAGTCACCCACATGGAATTGCTTGGATGGATCTAATTTTATAAAGGATACAGCTTCCTGGATGCGGAAACGGCAAAGGCTGAGTTGCCTTCGTTTCTGGGAGTCAGTTAGGAAGGTGGTGAGAACACTGTCTTTATTTATAACCCTTATACCCCAGTGGCAAGAAATGCTTTTTACAGATGAGTCACTGAATCACAGAAAAGACAATGTGGGGCTGTAGGAGGTCTTCCCGTTGAAAAAAGCTGAATTTCCCAGAATGTGGCTCGAACTTTAGGGGGAGGCGTAGGCAGCCAGGAGTGACAGGGAAGCAGGAATCTGGCAGCCTGTATCCCCTGCTTATAGCCTGGGACCTTCGAGGTCCTGTCCTTTCTGTGCAGGAGACTCAGCCATTGTGCCAGACTTTTGAGTGGTAGATAGTGACTGGAATTTGGGGACGGAAGACCTGGACTCAAGCTGGATTTCTGCTTCATACTCACTGTGTGTTTTCAGAACCCCCTGAGCCTGAGCAGCCCTCCTTTCAAGACCCTCCTGGAGGGTCAGGGGTGAGATGATGGGGAGGAAAGCACCCTCTAAACAAGAAAGTGGTAAAAAAAAAAAAAAAAAACAACTTTAAAAATAAAAAATAAAAAAAAAATAAGAAAGTGGTATTTGGATTTGTATTTTCTAAAATTTAGTTTTCTAGTCCATTTCTTCATGTGGAGAAATTGAATGTGTGGAAAGCAAGGACTTCTAAAAAATGGACTAGGGTCATAAGAGCTCCCTCTGTATGACTCTAGCAGCCATGGTGACTCTGTTTCCCCCTCACAGGTAGACGGACTGCTCTTCTACCACAAGCAGACCCACTACAGCCCTGGAAGCACACCCTTGGTGGGCTGGCTGCGCCCCTACATGGTATCAGACATCCTGGGCATGGCTGTGCCCGAAGGTCTGCTGACCACCAAGCCAGAGTACGCGGGGCACCAGTTGCAGCAGATCATTGAGCATAAGAGAAGCCAGAAGGACTCGAGGGAGAAGCTCACACATGAGGTGTGCGAGAGTGGGAGTTATGAGCTAGAACACCTGTCCACTCCCATGCCACAGCACCCTTCCCAGGACCCAGGCCAGCCCAAGGGCTGCATGGAGACCTAGAAAGGGCAGCCTCCTTAGGAGCTGGGGTCCAGCCCAGAGCGGGACTGGGAAGAACAGTGACTACAACAGATGACTTGGTTTTACTCCAGTAGAAACCACTTTTCTCCTATCTAAAATGCTGACCCATTTTAGGCAGTTGGAGTTGGTGCCATTCACACATTTGAACAGCTCCTACTGTAATAAGTGTATCTCAGATCTGCAGTGTAAACGTGTAATTAGAAGTTGTTAGGCAGGCATCAGTGGTATATGCCTTGGAATCCCAGTGCTCAGGAGGCTGAGGCAGGAGGATCACCATGAGTTGAAGGCCAGCCTGGACTACACAGTGAAACCCTGTCCCCAAAAAATAAAACAACAACAACAAAGGAAAAAAAAAATAGATACAGTCCAATGAGAAATGGACCCACCAAGGTGTGGGGTGTGTCACAATGGGGAAATGGGTGCCCGATCCAAAAGGGTGCAGAGAGCATCAGGCAGGGATACAAGGAGGCAGAGGGAGGGTGCTCATGGGAAGGTCACGAGCTGAGGCACTGTGGAGGCACCAGGGCCCATGTGAAGGGACCAGGAGGAACAGAGTGGCACAGACAGGCACTGCAGCTGCCCCTTCTTGAGCAGGACAGGCCTGGCCTGGGTACTGAAACAGGTTCAGCACAGCCTAGGCAAAGGAGCTAGGGAGAGACAGGAGGCCTGGGATTTTATGTCTCAGGGGAAAGGGACGTGAGGAAAGAGGCCTTAGATTGTGAGCTAGAGCTCTCAGATGGCTGTGCAAGAGAAGGTGGTGTCTGCAACTAACCAGTGAGCTTCTGCTGTTTGTTCAGGAAGTGTGTACCAGTTCCTGTGGCCTCTGCTTTCTAGTACTTCTCTAACCAGGCAGAGGGGCACATAGCAGGAACAGTGTTCTCTAGACAGTTTCAGAGGGCTCTGGTCAGTTCTTATGTGACATACAGTGTTCCTCTGAATCAGTTCTCTCTGAGGATACATCTGAGCAGAAGCCATGGTCAGGCAGAGCCCAGTTACACACATTCAGCACATCCTGACGAATACGCCTCAGTGTCTGTGCTCGGAGAGCTGCTCTCGCTGACTCTGTAAAACTGGAGAAGGAAGACCTTTCCACCCTCACACAGCGATGATCCTGCATTCCCGGATTCGAGCATTCGCCTCCATCAATAAGCCCCTTCCTGAATATAGGTCACTTTTGCAATAGGAAGGCTGTGTTCCTCTGCCAAGGAGATGTAGGCAACCTAGACTTTTAAGCCCTAACATCTTCTAAGTGTTCTGTTCTGGGTCTTCAGCTTTATCAGTCCAGTGGCTGTGCATGCCCATGTTGATAGCAGCTTGGGCTGGCTGTGCTTGGAGTGAAGTAGCCTGGAAGACTGCTTCCCCAAATCTTCCTCTCTATAGACAGATATGTGCGTGAGTCCTAGAACTTCTCAGTCAGATGTACCCATGAGAGCCACTTGATGCTGTGGGCCGGCAGGTGGGAAGAGCTTCCCTCAGACTAGCTCCTCCGATGATGTTTTTAACTGAGCAACCGGTTTTAGTGACCTGGATAGCAATGTGTCTCCTGGTCCTATTTCTTAGGGACTGTAAGCACTTCTGTTTCAACCACTTGTATTGAAGCTGGCTGGGTTAGAGGTTGCTGTGATAGAACAGGAGTTTTTTGGCTGCCCTTCTGAACAAACAATGACAAGCCTGGAATCTAGTTCAGTTAAGGGAGTAATCAATCACAGGGAAGTGAGTTTTGAACTGAGACCTTAAGAATGAGTCAGATTTGTCTGGTGAAGGTGGGGGTGGGAAGGATAGAATTTCTAGATAGAGACCTGAAACTTATGCTTAAAAGCAAAGAAATAAAACAAACCCAACCAAGCCATGGTGATACATGCCTATAAGTCCCAGCACTCCGGGAGGCTGAGGCAGGAGAATCACAAGTTTGAGGCCAGCCTGGGCAACTTAGTCCCTGTCTCAGTAAAAGGGGGTCGGGTCATGATGTATCTGAATGGCATAAGCCTAGCATGCTCAAGGCCTTGGATTTAATCCCCAGTACTGAAAAAAAGAAAAAAAAATTAAAAAGGAAAATCTGAACCAGGCATTGTGGCACACACCTGTAACCCTAGCAATCAGGAGGCTGAGGCAGGAGAACTACCATGAGTTTGAGGCCAGCCTGGGCTACATAGTGAGTTCAAGGCCAGCCCGAACTACAGAGTGAGACCCTGTCTCAAAAACACAACAAAAACCAAAAAACGCAAAGATAAAAAGAACATACTTATAGCATCTTTCTCCCAAGGTTCCCTCTTTATTTTCCACTGTCAAATTTCAACCATGAAGCCAAGCTAAGCATTCACCACCTAAAGGAGGCCAGGTTAGAGCATGCAGAGCTGTCTATTTCATCTGTTCCCATACAGAAGAGGATCATCATCCACCTACCTCATTCTATTCTGGTGAGGTTAGATGAACAGAAGTTATTTAGAGCAATGGAGAATTGGATTGGACACATAGAACACATATTGTGTCCTCCCTTTTTGGGGGGATACTGGTGATTGAACCCAGGGCCTTCTGCATTCTTGACAAGCTCTCTACCACTAGGCTATATCCCCTCATCTCTTAAATTTTAATTTTTTATTATTTTTGAGGGGGAGGGTGTTCAGACAGGGGTCTCACTGTGTAATCCAGGGTGGCCTCAAACTTTTTTTTTCCTTTTTGTTGTTTATTTATGTTTGGCCTAACTCTTGATCCTTCTGCCTCAGCTTATAGGTGTGCATCACCATACCTGGCCTCAAGACAATAAATGTTACCTCACCCCAGTGGATGTATATGAAGTGGTTTATTTGCTCAGCCGTGGTTGTTACGTTGCTTTCATCCCTTGCCATCGAAGACCACTGAGCAGCCTGTAGGCGCTGACTGAGTAGGGTGGCCCCACCTGGCTGGGTCTCTGGGTCTCCGTTAAAGATGGGCAGGGAAGCTGCCTCTGGATTTCGGGCCTCCTGAGAGTCAGCTCTCAGAGCAAAGCCAGCAGCCAGCATTCCCTTTGTTATGCACATTGCAAGCATAGTCAGGTTGGGACCGTGGTGGGCCAAATTCTGGAGAGCTCTGCCCTACACAGCTGTTCGCCCCCGCACAGCTGTGCCTCCCGAAACACTGCTGCTGGCTCTCAGCTCATTTAACCTCTTTATCTTCTTGCAATCTCTGGACTGGGAGTTAAGAGTACTCAAGTTCAAGTTTTAGCTCAGTGTAACTTATGAGTTGTATGACTGTGGATAAGTTGTTCACCCCAGTGTCCCCAAAGTCGCTGAGCTAAATAAATCTAAATGTGACCCTGTGCTCTCCTGTACTCAGCCAGTGACTTATTCTACTCAGGCCCCACTCTTTTTCCTCCATCTGAGGAAGAAAAAGTCTATTAAGTTACTACCTAAACATTTAAAAAGTGGCAGAGGATTTAGCTCAGTGGTGCCGCTGCCTGCCTCGCAAGCACAAGGACCAGAGTTCGATCCCTGGTACAAAAAAAAATAAAAAATAAAAAAAAACGTTTTACACACACACACACAACAACAACAACAACAACACATTCATGGAAAAAACTGCTGTTAGAGCAAGATAGAGGTCAGCCTTCAGGACAGCAGAGACCGGAGGGGCATATAGCACTTTGGCAGGTTGGGAATGGTCATTTTTCACTTGTGTGATGTTGCATACGTGTGTTCAGATTATGAAAATTCATCAAGCTGTACACTTATATTTGTACTCTGAATATTCTACTTTAGTTAAAAGTAAATAAAATGTACAAAAGTCCATATAGGGAAACCCAACCCCTTTGTGAGATAAACTCTCATTGTGTAGGCCAGGCTGGCCTCAAACTCATGATCCTCCTGTCTCAGCCTCCCCAGTGCTGAGATCATAGGTGTGTGTACAACACCTGGCTCCCTTCCACTTCTCCCTAGACTCCCAGTTCCCCTCCTGATAGCCACTGTTACCCTCCTTGTGCATTTTTCCAGAGTTTTTACATTTACAAATACATATCCCTTTTCACCTGTATACAAATGACAGCATATCATGTACATTGTTGAGTCTACCCTATTCTAGTTTCATGATACACCATGCCATGTGTTTGCACATGGAGAGACCACAGCCCATTGTCCAGCTGTGGAAATACACACACACTATTGTCTTCACAAGAATGGTGCAGTACTGAAGTGAGCTCTTGTACGTCTGATGAGCCTAACCTAGAGCCAGCCTTGTAGTACAAAGGAGAAACTAAATTACCTGGGATAGAAGCTGACTTAAACAAGGGGTTTCTCCTCTGATTGTCACTGAGGGCAGCCTGAAGTTGCTGTTGCAATGATGCAGAAAGGAGAAGAGGTTAGAGGTTGCTTTTAAAGACCAGAGCTTGGTATGGGGGTGTCTTAGTTACTTTTCTCGTGTTGCTGAGACAAAACACCTGACACCCGAAGTTAGAAAGGGAAAGTTTTATTTGGCTTATAGTTCACAGAGGTTTCAGTCCATAATCGCCTGGCTCTAAGACAGGGCAGCAGAGGAGCAACAATTCCTGGGGACAGAAGACAGCAAAATCAACATGGGACCTTAACAGTATCTTTCTGCCCCTTTTATTTGGACTACTAAGGATGGGTAGCACTCAAGCTCTTAGTCCTAGTGCCCTTGGGCCTAACCCTACCATGAATCAATCACCCTAGATTCAGGCACCTCTGAAAAAGCATGAGGCTTTGGGCACACATCGAAACCCAAGCCATAACATGGAGCTCAGAGTTCCTGCCACTCGGGGATCTCTTGAGCCCAAGAATTCAAGACCAGCCTGGGCAACATACCATGACCTTGCCTGGAAAAAAGTCCTAGAGCCAGGTATGGTGATGCACAGGTGTGATCCTGGCACTGGGGAGGCTGAGGCAGGGGGATCACAAGTTTGAGGCCTGCCTGGCTGTACATAGTGAGACTCTCGAAAAAGTCCTATGAGGAGTTGTCTTTTTCCAGGTTCTGGATATTGTGTCCAGGGTCTTTGCACTGAGCGACATCCCTGGCCCTTTTTTATTTTTTTTAATTTTGAGACAGATGGCCCAGGCTGGACCCTGGGTTTGGGATCCTCCTGCTTCAACCAGCTAGAGCGCTGGGATTCCAGGCGTGTGCCGTCCAGCCTCGCTCCGCTGTCTGAACATCCCTCCCTGCCTTGCATCTTTCTGGGGGGCTGCAGGGTTTTAGCCCGTGGGACTGGCCATGGCACTCTCGCTCCTTGGGTCCCTTTGGGAATATTTATCTTCCATCTGGAATGCTGCAAACAGACCAGGGCTGCCTTCCCTGTTCCCCCTGCCCCCAAACTGACTCCAACACTGTCCCTCGGGCTCTTTGCTAATCAAAGTTTTGCAAAGTCTCCATGATTCCTGAAGAAGATTTGAAATCGGAATTTTTAGGGATTGAAATGAGTTATACTGGTGATGGATCCCAGGATACAGGCAGCAAGGAAAGAGCACGAGAGAGAGTGAGGGCTGCTCGCCCTGGGCAGCCTCTGCCAGGGCCCCTTGGGCTGTAGGGGACACGGAAAGGGCTGAGGACGTGAGGGTGGTGGCTGAGGTACCCGGGTGATAACAGTGTGTCCTATTCCGCGGGGTTCAGCCTCATCGGCTCAGACCTCTTTCCGGCCCCTCCCCCTTCTCTGTCTTCTTCCCCTCCTCCCTATTCTCCCCTTCCCGCCCTTGTCCTAGTCTTCTTCCTCCTTCTCCTCCTCCCCTCCGATCCGGCCGCCCTCCCTCTCCGCCTCTCCCCCGGGCTCCCTATCTCCCCCCGTCTCCCCCTGTCTCGTCTCCCCCCGTCTCCCCCCCGTCTCCCCCCCGTCTCCCCCCCGTCTCCCCCCCGTCTCCCCCCGTCTCCCCCCGTCTACCCCGTCCGCGGTGCCCGCACACGGCGCGCCGGTAGTGAATGGGCCGCGGGTTTCTCAATGGGCGCGGCGCGGCGGCGTGGGGGTGGTGGTGCCCGCTCGGTCCCGCCCCTTCCGTGGTTAACCACGCCCTCTCCGGGCCCCGCCCCGTCCCCGCCCCTCCCCCGCGGCCTCGGCGCTGCGCAGGCCGTGTCCGGCCGGCCCTGAACAGCCGCGGAGCAGCGGTCGGGAGCGGCCGGCCCGGGCGGGCGGGAAGGGCGGCCATGCACGCGCGCGCTGCGGGGCGCTGAGGAGCGGGCTGTTGCCCTCGGGTGCTGTACCCGTGGCGGGATGGAGCTTGCGGCCGCGCCCTGGCCCAGCGTGGCGCCGGAGCTGAGCCCCGAGGAGGAGCAGGTAAGCGGTCGCGGCGGGTGTGTCCGGGCCTGGCCGGTCCCACGTCCCGGTTCCTCCTTTGAGAGCGGGCCTGGGTCTTCCCCTGGCCTCAGGTGCCCCCCAACCCCCGGAGGACCCTGGGGACCCCCGGGCTCCGACCTCATTCATCCCCCAAGCTCCTGCCGCGCCCCATTGTCCCTGAGAGCCTGGACGTAGGTCCTCACAGGATGCGGTGCCGGGTCGTCGGGTCTGGGTCAGGGAGAAACCAGCGCCGGGCCACCCTACCTTCCCTTCAGCCTGGGAACTCGGAGCTCCCGGGGGACCCCGCAGGGCGCTGCTGTGTGTTTCCTGGCACTGACTGCGTCCACCCAGAGTTGTGCCCAAACGCAGCCATAGTCTCTCATCTAAAAATATGCAAATAAGATAAAATCTACGAAGAAAGCAGAAGGTGAGCCCTGCCACTGGCTCGTTTTGAGCCCCCCAGCCTTTGTTCCCGTAGCTCACAGTAGCCAGCGCGGTCTGTCCCTGGCTGCAGACACCCTGGTTTCACAAACTGATTGATACTGGTTGGTGGCCTTATTTGAGATCTGATTTTTAAAAGCCCTTGACTGCTCTCCTCCTTTGTGGCGATGACGTTTTTCACATTTGGCCCCAGACCGCAGTCTTGCCTTTTGATGCCTTGAGATAAAATCAAGGCATGGGAAGAACATTTTAGAATTCTGTTTTAGAAGTTCTGCTTTGGTGGTAATGTCCTGGTCACTGCAGTTGAGCGTTATTAAAATGCTAGTCAGACCTTAGTGCAAGCAGGTGGCCAGTGAGCCCACCGTGCCAGAATTGGGGAAATCCTTCAGGACTAAGGTTAACGAGTTAGGCTGACTTTAAAGGTGTCTTAAATCTTTTTTTCTTGGGTCATATTTGAAGTTTCTAAAATGTAAAGGTGCCAGGCATGGTGGCACACGTCTGTAATCCCAGCACTTGGGAGGCTGAAGCAGGAGGATCCCAGGCAAGTTTGAGACCTGGCTGGGCTACTAAGTGAGCTCAAAGCCAGCCTGAACTACATAGCTGAGAATCTGTCTTGAAAAACAACAAAACAAAGCAAAACAAAACAGACCTAAAGGCATCAGACCTAAACGCATAGTCTTCTATGAAAATGGCATTAGGTGGCAAATAGTAAAATTAAAATGAGGAAAGTAAATGTTAAAATATTGAGTATTTCCATAATCACATTTTTTTCTACATTCTCTCCAAAATTTCTACAGGCATTTTAGAGTGTTGAAATACAAACATAAAAGCAGCATTGTTCTAATTATGGAAATACCTGGGCTGAGGATTTAGCTCAGTGGTTTCACCGCCTGCTGCGCAAGTGCAAGGACCTGAGTTTGATCCCTGGTACCAAAAAAAAAAAA